GTGCGTACGTTTGTAATTTCATTTGATCCAGACTATATAACGGTTGGCTGGGTCCGTTTTGCACACATACGCAGGTTATTAGTCATGGTAGTACTTAGTAGTGGTTGCAGTCTGTGGGCTCTGATAATGAACTATTGAACCCAGAATTTTGTTTAATCAATCCTGTGGTGAAAATTCTTTATTTTTCTTTATTTTCAGATTGTTGTTCTCCATCAAAATTGTATAAATGTTCTTAAATTTGTGCAAAACTGTGAAAAGGATGTTTTAGAAATGGCAGATATTTCTATACAGAAGGGCACTCACAAACGTTTTGTTTAAAACTGATTAGAGAAGCACAATCAAATGACCCCAGCTATGTCACAAATTGAGGGCATACAGGAACTGGCGTTACTTTGTAATGTGTCCCTTTGTTTTTTTTGTTCACAGGCAGCTAAAACACAGAGCAGATCTGATGTGTAATCTGTGGACACGCCGGGAGTCCACTCACACCAGACTGACTGACTGTGTTTGAAATTGAATCAGATCATTCTGACAAGGTTGACTCGGTACTTTGTTTTGCTTCTTATGGGCAAGCCAAGATGATGTATGAGATTCATACTGTGCAGACAGGCAGCTACAAATTTGCTTGGCTAGTTGACTGGTGGGAGGTTGGGTAGTGGCAGAGAGTTAGGTGGGGGTGTAAAGAGTCGTCACATTAAAGGAACAAAGTGAAAGAAAGAGAAGCTTTTGTTCTCATTTTTTTTTTTTTTTGAAGCTGTTGTTTGTCAAAAGAAAAAGGATTCCTCTGGTCTGATGATTTACATCTGAGCATATGCTTTACACAAAAAGAAAATTTAAATTTGTTCTTCTGACATTTGCCAAATGTTGCTTTTTCTTTAGACATAATTTGAGGTATCATTTAGGCGAATTACTTAAAAACATACTTAAAAACTGTTCGGCTCATCTGATTGGTCACATGGTAGACGTTTGATTAATGAAACTGATCTGACTTGGGGAAACAGGCCCCTCTGTGTTGCCTCCCCCTTATTTCAACCTTCTTTCGCCTCCCCCGTCCCCTACACTGAGCCTTGTTTTCTGCCCCCCTCCCCAATATCCCATGCTGAATGAATGGCACAGATGTTGTTGGACAAGACAGTACCCCTTGGTCCCCTTCCCCTCACTATTCGCTCAGCATGAGGTCTGAAACTTGTTTTTTGATCATTGTTTCCCCCCAAATGTCTCCCTCCTCTAGAGGAAAAAAAGGACCCAAAGAGGAGGGAGATGTGGAGACCAGGAGCAGCCAAATTAAAGAGGGAGGGAGGAAGAGCTCACAGCCATGTCTGAGGAATATGAAGAAAACATACTGTTTAACTATCTCCAAATAAAAAGTGGTGCATAGGGGAAGGTCACATGTTGAATGTCGGTGGAGCGCCACAGTTAGGGAATTGGCAGAGGGTATGGATGGTACTGTGGAGCTGATGTGGTAAGGGTTCTGGTTTTGCATCCAGGAAGTGTCGACTCGTGGACTGAAGATGCGGGTCAGTGCGTGGCTTCTCTGTGTGTCCTGGTTCTACACTTGGGCAGCGTATTCACAGAGGTGCAAGTGCCAAGACATCTGTCCAACAACAGAGCCAGGACTGGACAAGAGGTCAAAGACCCGGGTCAAGGAGCATGTTCGTCACAGTGTCGGACACCAGCACACGCTTCACAGGAGCAGGCCGCACCGCAGAAAAGGTGAGCTCTTAACCCACGCGACTTCTGAGACTGAAGACACACATTATTCTATTGTCATGCAATACAGCCCTGCGCATTTAGGTGTAAAGGTAGTACCTGTGCAATAACAGGCAGACCTCTGATGCATCTCACCAGGTAAGATCAGATGTTGAATTTAGTAATTTGACCATGTAGGAAATACTTTGAAAATATAAGTGAAATAAAAATGAACTATTCTTTTTTGGTAACATTATTGTTTGGTTTCCCACACACCCCACTGAAGGCTCTGTAAAGAAATATAATAGTAATTGCAACTGACTAATTAACTTTTGAAATTGTTGAAATATTTACTTTTCTTCTTCTCTGGTTTTATTAAAACCATAGATGTTGAAAAGTAGGAACTCTTCCCTTTGCCTGAAACTGAGTTGTTTGGATGAAAGCGACAAAATACAGTAATAATGACCATAAGGTATTGTTATTACACCAAATAAAGATATGTTTGTCTTGTATTATGTTACTGTATGTTACTAAAACTTTTGAGCAGTGAGAACATGTTAAACTCCCAGTTAAAAAAAACCTTATAACTTGGAAATCTGATATAGGATTTAGGAGGGGTAGTGCTGTCATTACTGCTCACAGATATAAACATCAATTGTATTTAACTGTGTTTAACAGCTGGGCTCCGTACGACTCCAAACAGTGTCATTTCCTGTTGCAGATTTCTGAAACATCTCATCAGTCTAGAATCATGCTTATAAGAAGTTGTCATATAATTAGGAAAAGTTATTTGTTAAGTCTGATTTTTGAGCTGTTAAAAAGGCCAAATGCTACATTGCGGTTAAACTGTTGCTGAGGAAAGTCAGTATTTTAAGACAAATGAAAAATGTGTTGTGTAAAAGGTTTCACAGCTGCTGAAACTTTTTAAATGTCCTTGTAAAGGTTTATTTGCAAAAGACAATGTAATGAGTAACAACCAATTTATTAGAATTTGAATCTGATGGAATGCAATGACAGCATGTCAGAAGAAAAACCTGCAATTAAGTTAAGCCACTAACTAATATATGTGATATAATTCACTAATATAGAAGTGCAATAAGTTAGAATACACAATGCATTTTTGTTTAAACAAGCTCAAAGCAGTAATTCATGTCCACAGGGATTGATTCATTTACCAAACACACTTGAATTACACCCAGAATTTACTCTGAAGTCACTTTTTATCAAATTCCAGACTGACACATTCTTTCTTTTTCTTATTCCACCCCGCCCTCTTCGCCCATTCCTTCACTTCTCCTGACCTTTGGTCCACAGCCTGAAAGAGGTTCCCTTCCTCACCACATCTCAGCCCAGCACCATTCCCATGAGTTGTGTTTAGCCGGGACTCATCCTTCATCCCCTCTAAAGCTTTTGTTGCAGACTGAAAGCTGGCTGATGCCGGGGCCATCAAGCCCAAGTTGTTGGATCAATATAAACATCCATCACCTAGCCATGGTCTTTCTGAGCCTCACAATGAGCAGTTCACTAAACAATACTTTATTTATGTGAGCCATTGGAAGGAATGAACTCGTGGTAGTTCACTTATTTCTAGACTGCCCTTCCTTTGCTGTGATAGAACTTGGCAGTAACACACCATAGGGGGAATTTTTTTTTCCTTCTTAAAGTTACATTCAAGCTAAATTACAGTAAATTTATACTTTATACCATCACATCATAGTAAACAGAGTGGATATAAGTTACACTGTCATATGTCAGTGGAAGTTCCGCTTCAGAAAGCCACTAATTACAGTAAACATCAGCAAGAGAAAGTATCAAAAAAGGATTTTTACAAAAGTTTTTCAGCGGAGTTTGTATCTATTTATCCAAAGTCTTGAAATGTGGCACTATGCACCGCAATCCACAATCTAGCATGTGTGTGTGTGTGTGTGTGTGTGTGTGTATGTGTGTGCACTATACTCTTACCTTCTTTAAATGAGTTTGTTGTATGGAATTGGGACACAAAGCCAATATTTGTATCAACAGAGTTCAAGTAAATGTGTGTGCAATTCAGACGGTTGAACAGTTGAAATACTTTGAGAAGTCACTGCATGAGTGAGAGATACATAATTTCCTTCCATTGTTTGGAAACAAGGGAGACTCTGAACTTCCTGTCTCATGGCAGTGTTGACAGAGCTGCTGCCACAAATTGTGAAATCAAATTTAAAACAAGAAACAAAAAACAGTCGAGATGGAAGAGCAGATGATTTCGCTGTGGCCAGAAAATAACAGTATTGTCAATATTTTTTTATTCACTTTTATTGTCTTTTGAGGTGTTTTTAGCAATACAGTCAAGTGAGGGGAGACGACATGAGCCTTCTAAGATTAGCAGCTCGATTGCTTATTGGACTGATAAAAGAAACTTTTCCCCAACACATGTAACTCCAATAAAAAAAATAAACATCGCCACTTTTATATTAATTTATCATCCCATTTATTTATTACTTTCCGCTGTCCCATCCTCTTTTTCTTTTTTTTTATTAAAGATAGTTACTTATTCATTACCCAGCAGTGTCCTTGGCTGCCATGGACCCTCCCTAGTGATATTTCAGTGTGCGAAAAACCTGACAGCTTTTTATAAGCTTTCTGTGGTTGATGGTCTATATTGACTACTGAACTTCAATTAGTCGTCCCACAGTGATTTCTTACAAGCCCCAGAAAACCTGGGAATTAGTCCAGACGAGCGGTGAAATTGAACATGTTTAGAATAAATTTAGCTTCTGCTCAATATGGTTTCAGTAACACAAGTTTTAGACAGACAGATAGACAAGACAGGTAGATAGATGAAAATTTGAATACAGCGAAATTGATTAAGTTCATTAATACAAGTCATCATGTCGCCTTTTGCCACTGCGTCTGTCAAGTCTCTGACAGAAAGCCAGAAGAATGCCGGAAAATTGTCGAATGGTCTTCAAATTACAATTTTGACACGTTTTCGCAAATAAAAGAATAAAACTAAAACCTATTTTGGAGTGTAGTGTGACAAAACCATATAGAATATGAGGTTAAAATCAAATAACTGGATTTATATTGTAATAACTATGTGCAGACTGGAATGTACTTTTGTCAAGATGAGTCTTATTTTGAAAACTCATTTGAGAGGAAGCTACATGTCACTGAGCTACTTTGACATTGGTGTGTTCACACGACAGGACGACTGAAACTGGCGGCGAGTTAAATTATGGGGCAGGAGTTTGTCAAGTAAAGTTGCCCTTTTAACAAAAAAAACAAAAAAAAAACAATTAGAGACAAAGGCAGTTAAATTTCTCATCATACTTTTAGCTACGTAGTTAGCCTAATTAAAGTTATTCATCAGCTAGCTTGGAAAGTCTGTCTCGATGACAGTTCGCTGTTAAGGATGAACAGAGGTGTTTTCATATTGTCGGTGTTTGGAGTTGTTCTGTCAGGTGAGTTTGAGTTTCTGAACCATTCATATGTTGACTAATGTTACTTTTCAAATATGTCAAACAAACTGTGACCTACAGTATTTCTCCTGAAGGTCCAGTTAGAATAATATCATACTTAAAGTGCACTATATGCGTAAAATCTGATTTTATTTTCCTCCAACAACTGGGGCTTCAACTAACAGCTGCTGATTGATTTCTTGATTAATTGGTTGAATTAAGATACTGAAATATCTGAGTCCAAGTTGACATATTCAGATGCTTGTTTTGTCTGTCCAACCGTTCAGTACCCAGAGACATTCACTGTGGAAGATTTAACATCGAGGAAATATTCACATTTGAGAATCTCTGACCGGTGAATTTTTGGCATTTTGCTTAAATATGACTTAATCACTTAGTTATCTGTTATAACTTAGTCTTTGTTATCCAATGAATTTTTTGTTGATCAACTAATCAATAAATCCTTCCAGCTCACAGTGTCTCAGTGTCTTGCTCTGGGACACTCCAGCAGGTGTGGCACTTCCCAACACGTGGGGCAGGTGGCTTAAGCTTGAGGTGTGTTGTTTGGTTGCAGCACAGCTCGTTTCCCGACACATGTTTGAATACTTTCTGTATCTAAATTCTTTGAGACATATTGTCATTTCATTGATTTCTGGAGGGTGAGAAGCATCCTAATCACAGGCTTCCCCCTGAGAAAAAGCTTGTAAGAATGCACTAATGACTACAAATATTTGAATCGTGATGCACTGATGTTTTGTCTACAGCCTCATTTTACTCAGATTGTGATGAGACAAAGTGACAATGAGGTTAAACAGGCTATTGTTGGCTGTAATTTGAGGGCATTTCCGGCTATAGTGAATGAATGACCAGCTCAAGAACCACATGGTACATGCCCATTTAAGACAGCCAAAAATATGTGGTCAGATCAGGATTATATTTAATTCAAATTCAACCTTTCTAATATGATTCTTAATGTTTGCAGCTCATGAATATCTCCAGACTCTTGATATTTTGGCAATCTTTTTTTTTTCTGCCTCTGTTTTTTATTTTGTAAGGATTTGGCTGTGTTTGATTGTGAATTACTCAGGCACCACGCAACACATAGTTTAAGACTTTATGAAGAAGAAGCAAAAATGTGAGAGTTGAACTACTTCTCTCAAATCTTGTTAAACATGGTGGCCTTTTTGACATGTGGTAATAACTTTATTTCTAAAATTGTCTTCAATTTAGAAAATATTTACTTTCCAAAAGAGTCAAAAAAGTCAGGGGTAAAATTCCTCTCGAAGAGTGTCTTTTGTTCTGCTGCGGATGTGCTGTTGATGGGGGAGTTCCAGTCTGCTTTTGTTGTGGTTGATGTTCCTGAGACCCTCAAGCCTCCTCTCCTATCAGGAAGCTGACCGCAGTCTCCCCGTTTCCTTTAGTGTGGTCATCCAACTCCATGGGAAGTTCAAACAATGGCATTCCACTGCTGCTGGCTGCAAATAGGCATTGTTTGTTGGTAGCAAGGTTTAAACTTGTTTGTTTTGTGTGTTCTGTTGCCAGTTAAATGAACGCCAAGGTGGTATCTGTGTATATATTGTATACATTAATATCTTAATATCAAACATAAATAATCAAACATGTGCAATGCAGAACCTTTGGGATAAATACATCCATAATATTTTTGTGATCATATAATAATCATGCTGTTAGGAGAAAGTGTGAGGATCAAATCAGCACCTTTAAGAATTGGTTAGCTTCTTTGGCTTTTCTTAATCTGATTAAATAGAGCCACATTATGCAGTTTGTCACTCGCTCTTTTTCCTCCTCAGGTACCAGAGTACATGCAGAGGACACGCCGCCCCGTATCGTCCACCACCCCTCTGACGTGGTGGTGAAAGTTGGGAATCCCACCTCGCTCTCCTGCCGGGCGGATGGCAGCCCAAAGCCGACAATCGAGTGGCTGCACAACGGGCAACCACTGGAAGCAGCAAATGGTGACGGGCAGTGGCAGACCATGGTTTTGTCAGAGGGCAGCCTCTTCTTCTTGAGCGTTGAAGGGGGCAGGCGAGGTCAGTCACATGAGGGTATCTACACCTGTGTGGCCAGGAACAGTGCAGGGAAGGCAACCAGTCGTAATGCATCGCTGTATATCGCAGGTAAGACGGACGCATGTGTGGGTATAATGCTGGGCTTATTATTCAGAACTTAGTTTTGTTCCAACATCAACTGATCATCTTTCCTTATAAATAAGGAACAGTTTACACTCAGCATCATTTTCACGGTTGTGAAAAGTAGAAAAATCAATCAATCAAACAAAATAAAGATTTCACCAAACTAATAAAGGGATGTCCGTGCAAAATGTCCAAGAGATCTTCCTAGTGAGTCGTTGTATACATACAGTGTGAGTGTATACAAGACTGTTCTGAAGTCTAAAGATTTCACTTTTAAGTCTGGTGTTGCCATCAGTATCCCATACCATCACTGATGTAAAACTGGTGGTTTCTCCCAGAAATGATCGGAAGAGTCATCTGACGAACACGGAGTCCCATTTGTGTTTTACCCTGGTTTACCACCAGTATTGTCTTCCAGCCCTATTCAGCCAAAATATTAAGAATATTGTGCAGATATGTTTAATACTCAGTTCTAAAAATATATCACTTGCATAAAGAGGTTTACTGTCAATCAAGTCATTACTTTAAACTCCAGGTTTAATTTGAAGAGCTAAATGATAGAAGACAAACATATGTGATTTTTGCGGAGCAGGTCACCTGTAGCTATTTCCTTCAACCCCTACACTTATTGAAAAGTTGAATCCTCTAAACCTTTTTAGAGGAGTGGGATGGGGAGATGAAGGCAAAGCCCCCCACACACACACATGTGTATTCAGAGTGCTGATGAAAATGACAGTGACAGAGGAGGTACAATGTCAATGTTTGCTGGACAGGACGGAGTCAAACTGTGGTACTAATTGACCTCAGACCCTCATTATTTACTTCTCTGTATACCAGTGAAGCAGTCGACACGCAGCAGCTGCTGCTTGTCTTTTAGTCTTTACAGGACACAGAGCTGAAAGCTGCAGTGATCACAGAGGCCATGTTGAAAAGTTGAAATGAAGTCTACGTGCTTTGGCACAGAAAGAGACAGTAACAGCAGAAAATGAGCTTCTGTCACTGATCGTGTATTGAAACATCATTTCCATCATGAATGGTTTAGGAAAAAATGATTTTAAGTAGACCTGAAACAATCAATGGATCTATCGATTAGTAGGTCGACAGAAAAATCAATCAGATAGTAGAAGGTCAAAAGAAGACATGTCAGGATGTTATCTCAGGCTCTGGGGACATGTACTGGGCAGTTTTCACACTTTGCTAACATTTTACAGACAAGACAATCAATCAATGTTTGAAAAAAAAAAATCAATAGATCAGTGGATAATAAAAATAATCATTAGTTGCAGCTCTAATTAAATGTAGTGTTTGCTGTCATCTTTAGTAGAAAAAACCGTGCCAATTAAACGATGGTTAACTTGCTTTATAGGCTGGTTTACTGCCTGCCTTTGTAGCTGGTAATTAGTAGAGCCCACTCAATCACGGTGATGTTTGGTCAGGGATGTGGCAGTTGTGAGCTGCTGCATGCGTGCTTACTGGTGTATTGTTAGAAATGTGTAAATTGGGACTTTTGATTTAGGTTTTTGGAAAAGGATTTATTATTGATTTGACATGAAAGGACAGGAGCAAAGAGGGCATCACGTGACAGTGGACAAGTCTCATGAAGGATTTCTCCTGTTGTTATTGCTTTAAGATTGGTTTTGATGGAAACATAAAATGGTGGATTAATAGGCACAGAACGATGAATGAATATATGATGATATGACGTTTTAATGTATTTTATTCCTCTTCACCCAGATGATGATTAGACGGCCGACTGATCAGAAATGTTTTGTCAAAGTTCCCCAGTACAGTACAGTACATTGTTGCCATGGCTCTTGAGTTGACTCTGAGTTGTTGTAGTGTTGCAGGACGAGTTCAGCGTGCAGCCGAGTGATGTGGAGGTGGGAGAGGGGGAGGTGGCTTTCTTAAACTGTGGCCCCCCAGTGGGACACCCCGAACCTAACATCATCTGGAAGAAAGATGGCCTGCCCATCAACAGCAGCGACCACCACTACACTGTAAGGCCCTTTCAGACATGCATGTGATGATTTTTTATTTATTAATAAAAAATAACATAATGTTGAAGTAGTAATTAATAATTTTGCATGTTGGACTCTGAGTAGGTGCCCAATGACTTTGAAATACAAGTTGGGGCAGTCAGTCAGTCAGACACTTCCAACATGATATTCTTATGAAAGAAAGCATCATACAAACACAATTAATGATCAGAGCAGCACGCCTCTATATTTTCAAATTATGAATATCGACCAAAACGCTTTACATACAGTGTGTGAGGAAATAAAAATTAAACAAGCGTCCCTTATAAAAAAGGCAGCAGAATTATCTTAGATTTAATGACATTGTTGAGAAACTTTTAGTGTTCCTCACGCTCAGCGATGGTCATTATCCATCACTATCCTTCAGTGATGCATAGAAAACAGAAAACACTCTTCTACCTTCATATTATTACTTTTCAACTAACTGCACCTATGTCCTGTCATGTCTGAATAAAACATTTATGTAACTTATACCTCTGAAGGACACTTCACTTAGCAGATAAATGAAGCCAGCTATGTTACGTCTTCCTTTACAGAAAAGAGCTATTGAGTCTTTTGTTAGAGTTTAGTGACAATATGATGAACGGCCAATGGAAAGTTAGCACAAAGTAAACACTGACATTAGTAATGTGAAGGATACATACATTTATGTCACTCTAAAGATATGAATAAAGTAATTAGATTGGATTTAGCCTCACTCAGAAAGATTAAACATTACAGGGGGAGGTCGGGAATCAAATCAATAGCTCATAGTTGCAGACGGTCTGTAATAGACATGGACATTCAGCAGGACAAAGCCAAAAGAGAAAGGCAAATGCCAGAGCGCTGGAGAGTTGAAGGGAAGGCGAAGATTTTGCTTAAGGTGAATTTGAGTCAAAAGTTGTGCTCCTTCTCAGAGTGATAACTAAAATCTGAACTCGAACATGATAAGCATGATACGAGTTCATCATTATCCGATGTCCATCATGAATAGATATCGTCTAATCTGCATTTAAAATCTTAGAGAAAAGACACTTATGAACTTATGAGATTCATCACATGCTTAAGTTTTCATCAATATTAAAGTAATTGAGTGGCGTCTACATCCATGGGTACACTGCAAACATGAACTGCTACAAGCTAATTTGGCTTTTAATTTACTTTTAATGGTGACAATTAGCCAAATATAGTCTAAATCCTGTAGCTGAGATTACAGCAGACAATTTAATGAGCTTTTATGGGGTGTCGCTCGCCTGATGGCTTCAATTTATTCTGTCATCATGCTGTTTCCTAAATAGCCCTGTATGTTGGTTATAGCATATTTCCATCTATCAGATTAGTAAAAACATTAAAAAAACATCAGTCAACCTTCAGACAAGTGAAATTCCACACTGATTTTATGGAAGACAAAAAAAAGAAAGCATCTCATTGTGCGGAAAAAAAAAGTCTTGAAATTCACTTTGAAATACCAGGATGTTGAAATGACAAGAAGAGCAGCTTGTTCACAGAAAAACATTTCTAAAATCACTGATAACCCCACCTCCATTAGAGGAATTAACTGAGTCCGAATGGGGCTACATGATTATTTCTATTCAAACTCTTTATTTAGTCTTTAAACAAAGTGTCCCTCTAAAACTGATAAAGACATGAGAGCATGATTCTTTCAAATCCATCACAGAGCTGTTTTTTCTGTCAGGTTATTCTTAACAATGAGGTATACAGGAGTTCATACTGTACAGAGCAACAGCAGAAGATCATATGCAGCACCTGCTTGGAAATCTTATCTTATGCTCAAAGACATACCTACACACATCACATGTGAAGTTGTTGCATTGTAACTGTGAACTGTGCGTCCTGTGTGTTTTCTGCACTCTGCTGCTGTGCTGTAGGAGCTGAGTGGAAAGCTTATCATCGCTCCTGCAGAGAAGAACCACTCTGGTGCTTATGTGTGTGTGGCCAGTAACACTGTGGGGGTGAGAGAGAGCAGAGCGGCTCGGCTGTCTGTGCTGGGTGAGACAACATTACCAAATCAAATTATAACTGCTTTAACAGCACCAGCTTTGAATATAGCCCCATATTCGGAAATACATTATACAGGTTGTTTTTTTTTTTGTTTTTTTTTTTACCTTGACAAGAAAAGATCACAACCTCTACAAAATAAACTACACCCAGGTGCCATACAGTAAAGCTCAGTACTGAGTTCCTCTTCTCTCTTCTTACTGCAGCCAAGCCTCTTCTGGTGCTGAAGCCAGAAAATGTGTCGGTGAGAATGGGGGAGTCTGCCCAGTTCTACTGCCAAGCTAAAGGTGACCCTCCACCTTCTGTGGTCTGGAGCAGAGAGCAAGGGCCACTGCCCAACGGCAGGTACTTTATTATGACAAAACACAGACATACCGACTCCATTCATAGAGTAGTACCTGAACAATGATGATTTTCACATTGTTGCCACCTGATTTCTTAATGTTTCCCACAATGAAACTGAAATTGCAAATTGCGGTTCAACATAAACCTTTCTGGTTTTTACCACCAGTATAACTTGTAAGTGGCAGCTGTTCTAACTAACTGCTGAAACATCAGGTTGAATGTACACTTACAGTATATATACAATATTAACTTTATTTAATCAGGAAATCACATTGAGATCAAGATCTAATTTAAGTGAGATCTGAGTACAGAAAATAAAAGAAATAATAAAAAGAAATATTAACAGGAGAGATACAAAATTTCTGTCATTTAAATATAAGTTAATTTAGAGTACAGTGATTTAAATATACATTCAGATATGTATATAAACATCAATCAGAGCTTATATTTAAATATGCATTCAAATACACAAGAGTGTATATTTAAATTTATCTAAATATGCATTCAGATATACAGCCAAGTACACAATAAGATGACAAATTATACGCTCATAAGTGCAGTCTGTAATAGTACATCCCATTTCATACTGCTATACATACATATTATATATTTTGCTTCAGCTCCTCAGGGTTTATTTCTTTCCTGACATTCTGGTTTGAAAATGAAACCAATTAAATGGCTGCCAAATCTAAATGTCACTTATTTTCTGACAGATTTATTTTTGCCATTTACTGCTCTATATTTACATACAGGTATCTTGTAAACCCAGACCAGACTCTCCAGATCCACTATGTGACAGCCCAGGATGCTGGGAAGTACACCTGCACTGCTGTCAATGATGTAGGTGTGGTCACTGCCAGTGCACAACTACTAGTTGAAGGTAAGATGGAGTCTGAGAAAGCAGAGATTCACAATCATTCTTTTGCACCACAGATAATTTTTCAGTTAAAAATTTCATTGCAGGCTGGCCAACTGAGACTGAGTGCTAAGCTTAATTCTTCTATAAAAACACCATCAATTCAAACAAACAGGGGGTCTGATTTATCTGTGTGCAGGTTCACTTGCCTGCTCACAAATTAATTAATTCACGTTTTGGGTCACAAATGATTTATCAAATGATTTATCCTCCCAACACACAAATAAGCCTTAATATGAGAGAAAGAGGGAGAAATAAGACCTCACGAGAGTGAGCATAAAAAAACAAAACTTGACAGAAACTGAGATGTAATGTCACTTGGTCTGTGTTTCACTGTGAATAAAAATATGTAGCCAGACGTCTCAGCGGCACTCAGGTCGTGTCCTCACACTGACTCAAGGCACTGATGATGAAAGCTGAAAGGGGGTAAAGACAGACTGGGTACTTTACTTTACAGTACTTACAGTGACATTTTATGTGTTTATTAGCTGACATTGGGCCTAGCCAGATGTCAAGTGTCACCGTAATGGTTCATGGGCACAACTTACTGTACTTTAATTTTAGATCACTATTCTTTATTTTTTAGGATCCCATTTGTTTCTGCTAAAACAGTTGCTAATCTTCTTGGGGTCCACATAAAATTATTCATACACAAACAGCCTGTCAGTTTAAACAAAATACTCAACATATCAGATAACTTAAACAATACGTGTACAGAATTTAAACAATCTAATCTAATGCTGAGGGTTAAAACAAACATCTTGGCAGGTGGTATCATTCCTGTGGTGTGGTCTCTTTCATCAGTTTCTATTTGAGTGATTTTTTTAAACAGGTATTTGCTTCTGATTTTTTTTTTTTTTATATGTGTTGGTAGTGGGTTCCACTGGCTGGAGGCTCTGTAACTGGCAGTTTTTAAGTTGATTTGATTTTGGCTTTGGAAGCTCTGACCTATCTAATTTGGTGATTGTGCGACCGATCTGTCTGTCTGTACTAATTGTTCTCTAGAGAAGTCAGATTTTCTTTCTACAATTACATTACGGACAAATGTGAGAAGGCTGTATGTGAATTTAGCCTCAACAGTCAACCATGACAGACTGTGGTGCATGTTAGTGACTTTAGTTTTAAACGAGCAGTAAAGAGCTGGTCTTGTGGCCCTATTTTGTGCAAGCTGGAGATTTTTGATATCCTTGGTAGCTGCGCTTTGACTACATATCCATGCAGTACCCTAGATGTGAGGGAACAAATCCTTGTGTCACCTGATTCCCCATTTTTGCAACAATTGCATTAATATGGTCTGACCATGTCAAGCGGTCATTGATTATGACGCCAAGTAGTTTAATTTTCCTAACTTGCTGCATTGGTATCCCCCCTATAGATAGATCTAGATGGGGGTCCCTAGCCATCATTTTCTTGTGCCAAAGACAAGCTCAGTACATTGTTGTCGGGGGCATTAGAAGGAGTGATGAGGAAAAGAGCAGTGCAGACTGTGCTAAGTTCAAGGTAATTACAGCAAAAATAGCCTATAGCTGCCTATAAAGTTATGTAATAAGTATTATTCAGCTGTTTCTTAGATTCATATTGTTTCCTTACAGTCCGGTAGCAAATGTTCAGAGACCCATTACTTGTTCATGACCCTAAGGTTTGGAACTTCTGTGATAAAGCATAGGCCACAGCAGTACACTGTACACACACTACATACACTATAATATGGCATGTTTTGGAGTTTCCTCTTGTCGGTCAATTTGATTACTTTGATTAGAGAGAGGCTCATTTTTTGCTTTGATAATTAGGTAATACTGTATTTGCTGTTATAATTGATTGGGAAGCATCTTGGCTGTGGACTGAGAGGTCATTGGCCCAGGTGAAAGCAGCTGAGATCCTCTGAGATTTCGGTTCTTAGGAAGGAGCCGTTTATACCTCCAACTCTATTAATAAAAGGCAAAAGATAGCCTCATAGACTTCTTTGGTCAATAGTGAGTTCACCTGTAAGATATTACTTCTACATTAAGTGAATAAAAGTGAAAAGATTCCTGCCGACCATCTCCCTTACTGCTGGTATATGACTCTACCATGTCTAAATAATTTTCAGTGGGTTTCACAACAGGTCCCTGTACTGCATATACATAGCTGCTGAATACATTATCTTAATTACAGAACCACATAAATTGAGAAAATAGACACATAACTTAAAGCCTTTTTAGAGAAAATGTAAAATATTGTTCAAAATGATATTTTGGTGATTATTTTTTCTTTCGTTTGTTTTAAAAAAAAGCTTGTCCCATGTGTCCATGTTTAAAATAGATTTAAAAAATAAGGTGAAATAAAACTCTTGTCTTTCCAGAGGCCGTCAGCACTACCCAGAAAGACCTTCACAAAGAGCTGTCAGCCCTGCGAGTGGCTCTGGAAAATGTCACCATCACAGCCCCAGGGTCCAACATATCCCATGTACAATGGAAGGTACAAGAATGCTGTTTGTTCCAGAGCGTTTCAGAGAAAGTGTGAATATTTCAGGTGTGTGATTCATGTTGTTTTCGCTTTCTGACCAGCTCCAGTTCCTCCCATCCCAGCCACATTACCTTGATGGCTTTGAGGTTCTCTATCGCTCCCTGCTGCCTGCCAGCTCGGATTGGGTAGCAAAAAAGGTGACACTGCCCAGCTTCCAGACTCAGGTGGGCCCTTTAAAGAGAGGCTACAAGTATGAGTTCAAAGTCCGTCCCTACGGCAGCAGCTTGTATGGAAGGGAGAGCAACACCCGGCATCTCAGAGTTCCAGAGACAGGTGAGAAATGACATTTGATAGTATTTGTGTCTTTTCTGTAGCTTTTTAATACTTAAAAGTGTTTTAAAGGACACAAGTATACATTACCAACCACGACTTGGAGATGATAGTAACCTGTAACTTTCTTATACAGTTCCCAGTGCCTCTCCATTGGCTGTGTCCATAACAGTGAGCCATGATCTTAATAACACCGTCCACATGAGCTGGGAGCCTCCTCCTCATGAAACCCACAATGGTATCATCCAGGGTTACCAGGTAATACCAGCACTGTTTTACAGCTTCTGACTCTACACTCAGATTTAGTATCACCTCCTGAAAGCTACATCTGGAACCACTCTGAGAAAACATCCCATTATTATTATGTCCTCAATATACTGTGACAGACAGCTGCAGAACTTAATTAAAAACATTAATGAGTAATCATACAAACTGTTTCTCCACTCAGGTCTGGTGTGTGGAGTCTGAGGAGCAGCAGTACCAGAACTGGACGGTGGATAGTGGCCAACACAGCCTCGATATCTCTACTCTCAAACCAGGAAAACGATACTGGCTCACCATAGCTGCTGTCAACGGGGCTGGAGTAGGAATGCTGAGTGACCCACATGGATTTGTCATCAGTAAGCAAAAGGACACTTCAGGAAAATCTTTGTGGTTAATCTCTGTATCAGGATAGAGCACAAAATGAAATCAGTATCCTCTATTAGTATTAACTACACTAAAGAGGAGAGGTTATCATGAGTTCATAACTGATTAAAACCTCTTCCTGTTTGCTTCTCAGACCCACAGGTGGGTGGTCTCCCTGAGTCAGACAGCCAGAGACGAGATCTGTCCCAGTTCTTGGCCCTGCTTCAGGACCCAGTTTTGATCGGCAGCATTGGCGCCCTCCTTTGGTGTGTTCTGATGGTTGCAGCTGTCTGCCTCTTCAGACGCCACAGCAGGACAGGCCACCTGATACCAGGACATGGCAAGGCGAAAGGTGTGTGTTATATTCTATTAAAAAATGCTCATTATAAAAAAGATGTATCTGAAAATCTCCACTGCACTTGAATGACATCAAGTGTTAAGAGTACAAATGAGCTTTTCTATATGTTTAGTTGTTGTTTTTTTGTTTTTTTTTTCATAGGTTTGCGCAGACTGGCCAGTGAAGATCTCATTATTAAGCACAGGTAAAATGGAAAAAACTAGCAAAGCTTGGTGATTATAAATATTCTACAATGTAAAAAATGACAAAAGTCATAGGAAAAAAAAAAAAAACTGCCAACACCAAATGTGGGTTTATGATAGTTGTTAAGTAAAATCTGACACCTCTGGTACAAAAGTTGTTTTGATCTCATGCCAACTTAAGACTTCCTTAAGCTAAAGTGATGCAGAAGTCATTAGCCGGAACATTTTAGTTCCTGGTACTTTTCTTCAGGAACTAAAATGTTGCTGTGGCCCAGTGTTGCCTGCGTTTACATCGCGGCCTAAAGATTATGCGGGAAGATTATGCAAAATTATTACTTGACATTACATTATTCACAGCACTTTAAGGACATAACATGAACGAAAGTACGGGACAAATATTGCGTAATAAACAATAACAAATCCCGTATATATTCAATACAGGACGCAGCATTTTATTTTCAAATACAGGACGATCCCGTATTATACGTGACTGGTGGCAACCCGAGCCACTCCGGCTGTTGTGGTCCCCGGCTGTTGAAGTCCTGTTTCAGTACCTTCTCCCGGACCTGCTTCACGGTGTGGAAAATGTGTTTGTGCGCTCATTGCGGACTTTTAAACATCGTGGGTGAAATAAACTGCAGCGAGTACTGACCAGTCAGAAATGTTCAGCACTGCAGCCCACACCCCCCAAAGTTCCCGAACCTTTGGAAAGTACTACCCCTCGACCAGGGACTTTTTTGGGGATCGATCAATTACCCCAGAACTAAATATAGACCCTGGTTCCTGCGGTGGAAATTTGCGTAGTTCCTCAAAAGGTTCCTGGTTCCTGGGGAAAGTTCCTGCAGTGGAAACGCAGCTATAGTCTGTGTAGTTTTAAATCAGTTTGAATTAGGGTTAGAAGATATGATGGTATACACCATGCAACAGTAGAAATGTGTCTGCCAGTAGAGATCTAACATTACTGTTTCCACCATGGTACCTATAACTTAGTGCCGAGGTCACTAATAGATGGACTCGGTCTGGACTCAGACCCCAGACCTAGACATTGTCTTATCTGGACCCAGACCTATAACCTATATATTAATGAGAGTAAAATTAAATTTTGAGGGAGTAGCTCTATTTTAAACGCCACAGCTTTTCTAGCCTATATAGCACTGGTTATGTGATGATACTACGCAAATCATTGCAACTGGAGTCAGTGAGCAAGATACACAGACAGGGACAGATGAAACGAGACAATAGTCTCTTGTCTCAATAAAGAAATAAATGGGAAAGTAGAGGAGTGGGATATAAGAGGGAAGGAAAACAAAAGGAGGTGTCAAAGCTGTTCAGTTGTTAAGCTGTGTCGAGATTGTTTATTATGAAAATGGTCGAGGCCGTTAAGAAGTGAAATGTAGTGAACAAAAAACAAGAAGGGAAACAAGCTACACTCTTTATTTCATTTTTCTAAGATTAAGCACTTTATATTAAGATACATATTGTTCAACAGCTCTCTGTCATGTATTACAGTTTTTATTTTCCTTAAAATGAGAAAAGTTATTATTAGAGAAGTTATTATTTATAGTCCTTCCAGTTCACTCCTTGCCACTAAAAGGGGTGTGACTGCTGTCATGTGGACAGTATGGTACAGTTATTTTAAACCTTTTTCTCAATTTATTTTACTGAACAATTACTGTATCATATATATTTTTACTGTCATATAAAATTACATATATCCTGATAGAAGACTCTGGCCATGTCACCCACGACTACATTGAATGACATACGGATAATAATAAAATTCATAAAAGTGTTTTTACTGGTGACAGTATTAAAGCTTTATAAAACTTCTTCTGTACTTGAATTTTGTTTACACCTTTTACTTCCTTTTGGCTTGACATGTTCTACCTCCTCTAAAGGATGGCAGCTCCAGACTCCCCTTGGATCTCTGGAGGCTGGAGACCTGCTTTCAGCCAGAAGTATCAGGATTTGTGGGCCCAAGGTCAGAAACATCCAGGGATCAGGAGCACCAGTGAGTATTGGTGGCAAATTGGCACAGATGAATAGTGTTAAATTGGTGCTCTAACACTTCACATACATGACAAACTTGATATAAATGCTAATCTATCCAGCTGTTGGTTAGACATTGGTAGGAGGCTCTTTAGGTGCTTTCACACCTAACCTGTTTGGTGTGCTTGGCTATTTCATTTAGTTTGTTTAGGCTGGTGTGAAATCTCTGATGAGTTGGACCCAAAAGTATGAAGGACAAAAAAATGACATAAGCGTAAATAAATACATTAATCTAAAAATGTAATTGTTTGTTTGTTTATTTATGCTTATGCGGTTTTTTGTCCCTCATAGCAGAGACTTTCCTTCTCAGGTGGTCTCAGTCCACTTCCAATGGGACTGTGGTGTGGGCGATATGTGGTATGAAAGCAAACAGATCAACCACACATCCTCACCTGATGTACTGTATGTAAAACATATATAACGTTTGGTAGCCCTGGTAAGACTCTTAACCAGTCCCTCAATAAAAAGTGAGTCAATGTACAATATTCATGGTCCATTTAACCTGTTGGCTTAATGATCATAATCAGTACGTGTGTGAAATCTTTGTGACACTTTGTAATAGTAATGTGCAGTTTCAATTTCTGTCAGTCTCCAGAATTTGATGTCTACATGGTGGAGCTGTTGATGCAGGTTGACGTCACCAAATCTCTCCAATCGACCAGTTACCTTTCAGTCCATTGACTTTATGTTTGTAGCTGTTGGTTTGTTTGTAATGAGTCTGTGTGAACACAAAGAGGACCAGAAGTAAAAGGCAACAGTGGATCATAAATGAACTGATATCCATGTTTAAAGGGGAGAACAGTTCAGTTTGTCGCCCTATTTCATCACTTCTGATGGAGACACTTACCTTTCATTTCTTACTTATAAATCAGGACAGTAAAGCTCAGTACCATAAATATGTGCTGCAACTGTACAGTGTCTGTACCTACTCCTCTGTGTTTCATTAGGCCTCCCAGTCTCATCCAAGAAGGACCCCAGCTGTTTGGACTCAGCTGTCCCCATTGTGACCGACAGCTGCGGCGTCTATGGCACTTTTTATGTGGACCTGATGGGTAATGGCCTCAAGACCTTTAACAGTCCTAGGCATCGCCCTAAAATGCCTCATGGTCCACCACATCAGCAAGGAGCTGAGACCATCCAGATTTTCACTCAGCCTGTCGCAAAGTCCTCACCCTACGGGAGCCATGAGATGCTGCCATGGAAACAGGCCATACGCCCCCAACCCAAGATGGGTGTGCTGAGGGAGTCATGGGAAAAAAACCACAGTAAACAAGGTGAATAGTGGTTGATAGTTGAGAATATGATGTCCTCTCTTTGTTTATATGTGCACACCATGTTACCCCAACTCCTGATACATTATTTTAGCATGTAGTATAATCATCTGAATGCAGACAATAACACAGCTTTGGCTGGAAAGTGTCAACACAGAGTATTGGATAATGTGTCCATCAGCACTAAACTACCTCATTCATTTCCTCCCAGAGTTGCATGCAGTGAACAGCGTCCCCATAGTGCCAACCAGAAACCATGCTTGTCCATCCAGTGTCTACAAACAGAGACTCAGTCACATACCATCAGGCCGACATGGTATGACGAAATCTATACGTTAACACTATTACACCAACATTACACCAATGGTGTTTTTCGTTGTTAATAGCTGGTTACCTATTTTTAGTAACTATGATTTATTTCATTACAACGTGTCCGTTCAGGTGGACATCCAGAGTGTGGGAAAGTTGCTGGCTGTCCTCGCTTGCTGCATTACTCTGCGTCAGTGCACCTAGTGGACATGCTGCCCCCACCTCCACCGATGCCAATAGACAACACCACAGACACACACAGCCTGACCTCAGATGAAGGGTAAGATAAACACACATCTCTGACTGGGTAGTAGAGAGCGGAGAAGAGACGTTGCAGCTGCAGCACTAACTTCCGTGCAAGCCTCATGCAGGTCAGATGAAGAAGCAGTATAATGGAAGACTGTAGCACATAGGCATCAGGACAAATCAGATTTTTGTGAAGAGGGCCAAGTTGGACCTTCGCGTGTACGTATATTTAGCTGTTCACAGAAACTGTTCGCAATGAGTGGAGGGCCTCCAATAAGCCTTCAAGTGGCATTACATCTCCTACAAGCCTTTCATATATGGAATACCATATGTTCCCACAGGTTGACACTACACTTTCTATTCAGTTCACTCCAGTGCAGTTGAGTGTAACTCTAACACATGAAAATGACTGAACCAGAGCTTTCCATAAGCACCGACTACTCATATAAGTCCAGCCAGCTACATTATTATATACATTTTTGATTGTAGTTTAAATTAACAAGTTGTGATTTTCTGTGTGTACATTTTACAACCGCTAGCCTCAGCTTCAAAACAGATGATGATGATGAAAGAGAAACGTGTCTGTCTGTATCATTCCCACCACCACACGCTGTATGAGTGTGTGTCTGTGTGTGCAAGCTCGGCTGAGACGTTGTGTCCTGCGGAGTAGAGTAGAGTAGAGTTATTCGCAAAATAATTGATGACAAAACACCCAAGAACTGCATTGATTGCACAGACAGGCAACATCCTCATTAGACGGGATACTTTGGAAAACGTTGGTGGCAGCAGCTTGATGACTGTGCAGTAAAAGGCCCATTTGTGCTTCCATATACACCACGCAGGCGTTTACAGGCTTCATGAATGAACAAATGAATGAATTACTTTTATTTACAGTGCGCTTTTTAGAGCAGAGCCATCTCTAAGACACATTGCAAACACACTAAAATAGGCCATATTGTCACAATGACAGGCCTGTGTCGTATGAGGAAAATGTTAACGTTACTGAGTAATTTCCTCCTGCTTTGTGTGTAACAAATTCTCATTCTCAAATCAGACCTGCTCACTGCCAGTAGGCGTGGAGTATATCAGGAAAGAAGTTAAGGGAGAGCCTAAAAGGAAGCTAGTGTAGTGGAAATCAACAGTCAGTTCATCAACATTGTTAGAATGAAAACATTCCTTAATAAAGTTTTGAATTCGTTTTAATTTTAATTGCTGTGAAGTTTTAGAACTGATGCCCTGTCGTTCTTTTGATCCCTTTTGAGCAGGTAGAGGAACCAGACAGGGCAACATTAGAACCATGAATAAATATTCTCATCAGTCAAGAATAGGCGTGGGTTTAAATATGAATAGCTATTTACAGCCAAAACACTCAAAAGTCATAATTCTTTTTTTCATTCATTCATGAGTCATTCTAGCAGTGCTAACCACTGCACCACAGAATCATAATCCTCCTTTACAATAATAATAATAATAATAATATAATATATAATATAATAATAATAATGGGGAAAGCTAACTCATTGAGTGCAATAATTAAGATTAGTGTATATGATGGAATAGACGCCCCCATTAGCTTTTTTCCCACTGGCTGGCTACTCCATATATCCTTGTGGAAAGCCCTGATACAAACAGAAAAAACATGGCACAGTACTCTAAAGCCATATTTCAAAAACAACACTTATTAAACAAGACTTTCCTGCTGTACATCCTCTTGTGCAGTCCCTGCAGTGCATCATTTGGAGGAGATGACCTAAACTTCCTTCCACTCAGTATGTTTTTGTCCTGCTGAAAGGCCCAGGGAATGGCCACACTTGAGTGGAAACACCCAAGACAGGAAAATAGACACAAGGCTAGTTGCTGTCTCCCAACAAAAGAGAATGTCATCGCTATAGAAATTTCATTTATTGGCTGACGATTACTTGAAGGCTGCTGTTACAGGGTACTAACTGGGGAAATGAGAAACCACAAAGCAAATGGTGCCAGGAAGTCCACATACACAAAGATGGAAGAGTGTGTTGACAGTGTGTGGTTGGTATTGTTTTCACCTTGTGAGTCCGTTTAAACCATCAGGGAAGTAGCTTAGCTTAGCATTGAGACAGGAAGCAAAGTGCAACAGAGAGCCCGGCTCTGTCCAAAGGTAATAAAAACTGCTGGTTACTTGGCAATGTCACCACAACAACAAAACTCCAGGAAATCACTGTGCTGCCAAGAAATGCTGTATTGTCCAGCATGCAACCCTGCATGAAACCTCAACTTGTTTTTGCATTTATGTTTGTGTATGGATTAAACAAACAAGATACAATCGTATGTCAGCAAACAGGCTACAATACTGTCTTTGAGGCAGCAGCACTTTGACAGTTATGCAGCACTTGTTACTGAATTTTGTTTCGTTTGGACAGAGACAGGCTAGCTGTTTCTCCCTGTTCCCAGTCTTTATGCTAAGCTAAGCTAAATGGCTGCTTCTCATTTAAAGACATCTACCCATAGACAAAAAAAACAAAAAAACAAGTTCTTTTCATATTTGCCTGTGTGTTAGCGTGGTTGTCATAATTTAAGGAAAAAAGATAAGACAACAAACATTCCTACATATTGCTCTTGGATTTTCCTCAGCTCCAGTCGTTCCACAAGGCTTACAGTGGACATGGGCTCTCTCCAGTCGGTGTCTGCTGCATCAGGCCACCATGGGCCACCAGGACCCACCAATAACAACAACAACAACAACAACAACAACAGCTGCCCCTCCTATAGCCACCTGTCTACTGCATCATATTCCATGTCACTGGATGATGAACATGATGGCACACTGACAGCACAGGAAGCCACCCAGTATCTGGAGCTGAGCCCTAAACCAGAGAGATTCAGGTAAATGATGGTGCAGCTTTTACTGTGTTTGCTGGCCAAGACCCCTACACAACTTTGCAGAAAATATCTTATATTTTAGATGAAACAGTCAATGTTAACATTTACAACATAGTGTAGATGTTAACATTAATTCAACAGCTGACCATGCCATCGCTCTCTGTCAGCAGTGTCCTTCCTGAGCAGCGTCCCTCCCTGTCGCTCCCCTTCTCCCCCACCCTGGGCTACATCTGTGGGCCAGTGCGCTCCACTCATCTGGAGGATGACCCTGCCACCGATGAGCCGGAAGCTCCACCAATTAGCTTGCGACGCGCCCGCCTGCAGAGCACACCTTCCTCCTGCTACAGCGAATGGGACAGCTCGCTGTGGAACACCTGGAGCACAGTCACGGACGGCAACATGGCCAGCACCCGCACCAGCCTCATCAGCTCAGTGGACAGTTGTTACACTAACGACAGTGCCAACTTTGCCCGCTTGCTGGCTGTGGCAACAGAGAGTATGAGTGGAGCCTCTTTGTCAGGTAAGCAGAGGAGGAATCTGTCAATGCCCATGGCAAATCAGATAAATTAGATATTTCTACATTTAGAAAAAAATAGTGATGTTTTGAATAAAGGATCTCCAGTCCTGTTTTTGTTTAGCTGGAGGAAAACTGTGGTGCATCCTGACAGTCCAAATCAATACTCAAACTACTCCTGCAACATAATCCCTCCCCTCTCTTGTCCATCTATGCATTCAACATGTATGTAGTGATTAAACGGCTGATTGTGCAAGCTATAAACAGGAGCGGTTCACGTAGCTGTAATGTGGGATATTCTGGTAAAAATGAGAGTGTTTGAGTGAGTAATGCTGAAGGTGGATAATCTGATATATAACACAAATATACTATTGTATTTTTTGTACTAATATTGTTTTTATATATTGCCAAAACAATTTGCATCAGGGGGATTGATAGTAAACACACAACACCATCTATTCTTAGACTCTTGAACTGGACACCATCCTACAGCCCATATTATTGTCTGCACGATGGTGTACTGACTAAAAATAAAGTACGGTGGTCATACGCATCGTAATGAAGGAATACCCAGTAACAGTGTGGCTAATTGGTGTGTTTGTGAGAGCTTTCGGACAAGAATGGCACAGAGGAATTAGATATGTCAGGCCTCAGATACACACACACACACACTTGTTAGTTAATTGAGTGCTGTTTTTGTTCTGCACATGGGATTTGTTAACGATAAGAAAACTATAGAATAGTATCTGACTTCTTCTTGAAGACAGTGTTTGACAATCTTTTTGGCCTGTGACACCTTGAAACAAATCAACTTGTAACTCTTGTCACTGGTTGCATATGTCTACCAGTTATGAGGAGTTTACATAATGATTTAGATTTTTTTTTATCATTTCTTTACAACTTCTTTACATTTTTTAGAGGCAAGATTATTTAATGAATCATGGGGGAAAAATACAAAGATTAGAGGAAAGTCTGAAAAAAAAACACAATTTCATCAAGTGTGGCATGTTTTTTTCTGCTTCTATCAAGGCTTTCCACAAGGGTATGGAGCAGCCAGCTAGTGGAGGCCCACATTCGGAGGCATTTGGCACATTCTAATGCCACTATTCCATCATATACACTCGTGTTAATTATTGCATATTTTACACTAATGAGTTTGCCCTTCTGATTTTAAACATGGAGTGAAGTATTGTAAAGGAGAATGAGGGTTTTTGTAGGTTCTAGTCCACACAGTCTCTAAATAGCTTTTAGTATTTAAAACCACACCTATTCTAACCTGCAACCCGGGAGCCACTGTTGTAAGAAAAAAGCTAGACACCTTGCAGCGTGAAGCTCCTCAGATAGAGGATGCTGTCCCTTTGTGTTTATGGCACTCCTCCACTAGATGTCGCCCTCTGTCTAAGTACGATCCCAACTGGTAACACGACACACAGCCCTGTAGGCAGACTGATGGGAAACAGGAAATCTGTCAAACAGAAACATGAAACACACGAGACAAGTTAGTTGTGTGTGTGTTCTTGTCATTTTCATGATTCTAAAGAAAAAGCGAGGTTAGTCCTGGTTTGGAGGTCGCATACTCCTCTCTAGCATGTGTGTAGATGTTCAACTAAGAGTGTCTGCATGTACATGTCTGAGTAGGTTTTGCATCATTGTGCATTAGTGATTGTGCATGTGTCTGTTGCTTCAAGGAACAAAGACATTCAGTCTAATATCCAAGGTGGAAGCAGCCAGTTACTTAGGGCCTTTCAGTAAATCGAACCTCCAGATGAGTCATCCTTCCCACTTTGTCACGTCATCAGTCACCCTGCTCTCCCCGACAGGCACCATTCAGCGTTTTTCCATTTGCCAAACTCTCGCTTTTGGCTGTCGTCTACCTCAGCTATTTTTCACCCATACAGCAATTCACCGTGCAAAAACCCCCTGCGTGTTTTCTCTGCTGTTGATAATTCAGTCTCACAGTGGCTGACATTAAAGTTTGATAAGTCTAAAACCTTGAATCATTGGCAACTTGCTGATCTGGAGCTGTGAGCAGTTTTCAGAGAATCATATGCATCAAACAGGGATGAGGCCATTTGTTCATGTGAGAACATGTGAGGCCTTGACATGAGGGAATTAATAAAAAATATATATTATTTTTAATCAGGATCCATACATCCCTTAATATTCTAGAATAGAATAGAATAATAGAAGACTCTTATTGAAGTTGCCCTGTGAGCAGTTGAGAAATGTATGTAAATGAAATGAAATGTAAAAGAAATATCCACTTTTACATTTACCAAAAACAAAAGATAGGGTTTAACTATTTTTCACATTCTCACATTAATCAACAGGGCCTCTTTAACGTGAACCCTTTAGCTTAGAATAAACTATTATTATTCCTGGACAACCACATTTTCTGAGGTCTTTGAAATGTGCCGGTAACTTCAGAATCCAGAGAGCTGCTGATGTAAGATGACACTGTTTGTTTTGGTGCCTCGAATATATGAGAAGAGTTTTATTTTCAGTGACAGACAGCTGCTTCAAAGAAGCTACTAAATTTTGCTTTTCCCCAGAGAATCAGCGTGAAAGGTGCCCCTCAGAGGTCTTGAAATGTTTACTTACTCTGTTACCTTCTCCAAAGGGGAAAAAAAAGAGTTTCTGTTTTAACATAATTTCCCTGCTCGATATTGAAATTCATGTCAACATGTTGTCCTCTCCTGTGTTTAGACTTCTCTCCGCCGGCCTCCCCCCTCAGTGCCTTGTATCCGTCATTTCGTGCGGAAGGCGACTCGTTCGGGGAGCTGGAGCCCGTTCCTGCGTGGGACTGGAGTATGGCCTGGGTGGAGGAAATGGAGGCACAGTATAGAGCCCACTATCCTGGCCGAAACACCAAACCCTTTAACACTTAAAGACCTCTGCTAGGATAACACAGACACACCACAACTGGATCTGGAGAACCTCAGAAGCACCTCACAGCAGTGCCCGAAGTGCAAGACACGAACAGTATGCTGCAACATTTATTGATCATGAAAGTGCAGATAAATATCTGGACTTGAAATATAATTGGAGCTCATTCCTTGATGTGTGGGACACCTCTGCTACATCTCTGCACATCTGCTGTCTGAAATACTTTCCCCAGTTTACCTCAGGGCAGTCCAGCTACTATTTTGCATCCTTCAAATAACTTCCATTGAGTTGCTAAAAGTTTTTTTTTTTCCTTCTCATTAGAGAAGTGGATAATGAGATGGTTCCCTCAGGATGCTCTCACCCAGTGTGATTTGAAAAGGCCAGAAAGACACAAAGACAGGATGCAGTGAGACAGTGAGAAAGGAGTCATTAGGCAGAAGAAACAGTGCAGAGTTTTCCTCACAGCACATGTTTGTTTCTTCTTCTCATATGTTTGTTGTAGGATTTTATTATTTCTACCAAACACACTGTAGCATAGTGATTTTTGTACAGACTGATTTACTGATCACATGTAAATATGCAGCATATTCAACAGATGTTATTTAAAGAATTTTAAACACATTCCAGATCATAAACCATCTTCCTTTTTCCTTTGGGGATTGAATTTACATTCTGGGATTTCTTTTATATTATAAGATTATTTTTGCCTGTCCACTTTTTAATGTTACACAATGTTTGAAACAAAACATGCTGTAGTTCAGAATAGTAGAAGTAGAAAACGTTAGTTTGTTCACATGTATTTGAACTAATTTAGGGCTTTACCTTTAAATAACTTGAATTTTAGTGAGAATACAATGTATAAGTGTTGTATGCATAGCTTAGTCTTTGCATGCTTGCTTTATATATATAAATTCACTAATGGTATTAGCATCAATTTTACATTTTGTAAGAAATTGCATTTTTGTACACATTAGATTACAGATGTGTTTTATAGTTTTGAATAAAATCTTTGTGTTGATTGAAGGTAAATTTTACATTTTGCAAGGGCCTCACATGTGACATGTGTCCTTAGCTGAGCTGTGAAATAAAAGCCTTGTGACATTTATAGAAAAAAAGAAAAAAAAACTCCACTTGCTGCTTTTGATGTTAAAAACACCTTCACACACTGTTCAGATGCTGTAAGTAAACATTCACCCTGCGGGATGTATCTGCAGTTTCTCGTAGGGGGTTTTTTCATTGTGCTGCGAGAGGAAGTGAAGTGAAGGAAGTGAAGTATCTTTAAATTACACACACTGCCCCTCTCTGTGTCCTGTGGGCTGGATTTTAATTGACCCCTGCTGTTCTTAATGGCTATGCAGAGCATGAAGGTGATGTTTAGACCTCATCTGTTTAGCTTGACTAACCAAGGCAAACAATGCAGCAGTACCTGATAGTGGCTGCTAATTACAAACCCATTGGAGAGAATAATTAAACCTTAATCTATGTTTTTGTTTTGACAAAAAAACAGGATGAGTGTAATTTTTAACTCTGTGTATATTTCTTTCCAAGGGAAACCTAAGATTTCATATTGTTTTTCCCTGTTTAAAACATTTGCACACACTTGATTTGACAGTATAATCAAACCTTGCCTGAGTTGTAGGAGTATTAAGGAGGAAAAGCCGTGCAGCCCAGCAGATACTCTTACAGTAAATCTAATATGATTTCCACAATGACTTTGTGTTGAGGATGAGCGTTTGTCATGCAGCTGCAAAGCACAGCACGCTCCTTTTCAGAGTAATCCAAGTCTTGTATCTGGGTTACTCGGGTCAAATGAAAAGAGGAATGTTGAGCTAAGAAGTGCTTTGCTGTCTGTTTCATTTATAAGCTGGCCAGGAGCAGCCAGGCCAGCATCCGTATTAATGTATAGAGCAATCAAAACCCAAAACCAGTCCATAATTACAATAAGGGATGCGAGGTACAGGGTCTTTTATTTTTCCTTTTCAAAAGCAGAGTGGGGTTTTGTTCCAGGTAAAAAAATATGAGAGAATGAAGATAGATAAATAGATAGATAGATAGATAGATAGATAGATAGATAGATAGATAGTCTCTCACAGCACCATCTTGAATTCAACCTGTTAAACTATCACATTGTGTTGCCTTTACAATCTATATGCAGTGCAGCAGTCCAAACACTGGATTAATTGTCTGTGTGTGTATGTGTCTGTGCATGTGTGTTTTCATTTGTGTGTGTTTTTGTGTGTGTGTGTGTGTGTGTGTGTGTGTGCATGTATGTATGTGTGTGTGTGTGTGTGTGTGTGTATGTGTGTGTGTGTGTGTTTTGTGTGTGTGTGTGTGTGTGTCTGTATGAACTGGACTGCCAAAGGGATTATCCTTCATCTGTCTCTTTCACTAAAGGCCATATGTTTCTACATGAAGCCCCCAGCTCCACTGAGCAGCACACACTCACTGACGGACCAGACCACACACTGTAGAGGCTCACTCAGTAATGAATCAAGCACTACTGTATGTCTGCCTGTCTTATTAGTTCATATGCACACACACACACACACACACACACACACACACACACACACAAATACACACACAAACTGCCCTTGGGATTTGTGCATCACAGATTTTGGTCTATGCCAAAATACCAGCTTTATATAGCCTGTCAGCAAACCAATGACCCATATTAGACATGGCCTGTAACCACACACACACACAGACACATACATGTGTAGATTTACCGCATGTATTTCCTGTAGTCTGTTATTTCACCAAATGGATAATTACCAATGAGTATTATTAGATGCTCTCCCAGCCTTATTGTAAACCTGCCTATAAAACATTATGGGATACAACCCTGCTCATGAAACTAGACCCTTGTTAGCACTTTTATATAACATTTATGTGCAACTTGTCTGTGTGAAATCATTTCGCAGTTTGTTGGATTTCATTTAAATTCTCACGTTGTCATTCATTTCAGTCCAGTTACTTTAATTGGCACCAGTATTTATGCAATACGACAGAGCTTTATTGATCTGTGTGGAAATGAGGTTAGTAGGATCTACAGGAAATCAAATACAATATAAGAACACACAGGGAATATAACATGAGGATACAATAGATACAGAAACAATATTAGCTACATATATATTTTCCAAACCAGTGCAAAAGAGTGTGCACAGTGCATTTACAGCATATTGATTTGATACCTTGTTCAAAATAGTAAATGCTAATAGAAAGCAGAGCCACTCCAGTTGGTGTGATTATAGGAGCTGTCTCCCTGTCTGAGCTTCCTTCTGTCACACAGGCAGCAGTTCAGGTGGCAGGGATGCTGCTCACATTGATTGAGAGCACTGGTTAACTGTGGTGTTGCATACTAAAGTGGTAATCATTCAATTAACTGGAAATCAATGGCGCCCATATGGGTGATCTGTTTCATTATTACCCTGTCAGTCACACAGGGCCAGTTGACTGCTTCAACACACTTACATACACACACACACACACACACACAAAAATACATACACACACACACACATGTTTTTCACATTAGCACATTTATTGGAAGACTGGACTAGGGGGGTACCAGATTTATACATGTGTCCGTGTTCATTTCGCATTTTATTTCTACTGTATTTCTATTATATTATATTTCTGTATTCTATCTATCAGCTTATTGTTCTGATAATGTAATGAGCTTTAAATGTTTTGTTACTTTCTTACTTATTTATTTATTTTGCGATCTTGAGAAGTAGATGAAGGAAAAATTTATTCAGGCCTAGTTTTACTTTTTAGTTTGTCAGAAACATTTCAAAATCACTGCTGGGGATGTTTTCCAGACTAATAGCCTAAAGCAACTGCAGTTTAGATTAGCAAAGCTTTATACAAAATATTATAAATCTATGCAGTTCAACTAGTTGGGACTACTTTTCTGTCCACAAACGGGAGGTGCTGGGTGATGTGTACACTATATGGAGCCAGCTTCACAAAGATAGACTTTGACTGTGGCTTTGATATAACAAATAGTCAGTCTTCAGATAGACATCTGAATTAATCTGTTGCACAAAGCAGTTTATTTCTTGACTATCTAAAGCCGGACAGTGGTACAATGAATTCTGGGTAAATTAAGATTTTTTTCAAAATAAAAAAAAAAATGACCAACTGAGGAACTGCATCCAACTACTGAGCTCCATTCACCCCAACAGAAAATGTTCAACAGTTACAAGGATGTTTTATTTCGGAAGAATAAAAATCTAATTTGGAAAAAAAAATCACTTTGGTCTCCAACAACCCTCTCCCTTCACAATGTTAGCAAACCACAAATTATGATGTGTTTTTTTTTTTTTTTTTTTTGTTGGGTGCTACTGGTCAGCGCAGGTGTCATTGATTGTTACCATGGTAACATTGGTCTTAGGTCTGAGTTAGTCTGGGGGTAAGGTGTTTTTTTGGTTTAAAAGTAGCCAGTGTTTTTTTTGTGACCAGGATTGGCCTAACATCACAGACCAGCCTAAAATATCTTTGTGAAACCGGCCTATGGTTTACTGTCAGGTGGATCTTTACATGTATATGTTGTGGAAGAAATAAAATGGGGAAATATTTATAATTGTATAACATCACTTAAATGTTGAATATGTTGTTACCCTACAAGCCTTTAAATCACCCACCGACCTTGCTGCCTACATAATGGCTTCATTTTAGCTTCTCTATGTATGCATCACATCAACCAAAAAAGTCACAAACATCCATCTCTGCTGTCACAGGGCAAATTAACATGGAAATTGGTGTGTTGCATTTTGGAATGAGGGAACAGGGCTTTAAATGATGCCGTCCCCTCCCTTTCATCCCTTCTTTTCTGTCTCTGTCTTTTTGCTCTCCTCTCAGGCCTCCAGCTCTCTTCCTTCAGCGCCGGTGGGCGTTTCAGCCCTGACACTGGCCTAATGAATGAGCGAGGTGATTTATAGCTCGGGGAGGGAGAAAAGAAGGGAGGGATGGAGGGATACAGGGAAGTTGAGGGAGGCATGGAAAGGGTAAGGGGTGTTTTGTCACGCAGTAGAAGGTCACTAACGTAAATCTTCTTATCGTCTTATCTATTGTCCTTTGCTCTTGTTTGTTTTTTAATTCCACAGGCCCATTGGTAGAACTCATGAAAGCTAACAACCTGCTAACATCATATGCATTACAATCACTGTAAGGATGGATGGGACTTCTTTTCCAAAACAGCAACCGGAGTAAAAGGGAGTTTAAAAAACTTCTAGAGTCTTTAAGTAAAGTACTGGAATAGTATGAAACGCTTTAAATCCTGAACAAACCTCTTAGGATTATTGCAGCAGTTGTCCCAAAAACAGTCCATTCAGAGGGGAAAGCTTCTCAAAAACCTTCCAATTTCTCTCTGTTTGCCTAAAATCAATTAAATGAAAATGTTCATATCTCATCTAATACATTCTATAGGATTAGACTGATCATTAAGACCAGTAGTTCTCAAACTTTTTCATGTCAAGGACCCCTAAACTGACAGTTAGACCACGGACTCCCATCTGTAAAGCTGTTAAATATTTTATTACAGAAAGTGTTTGAAACCCATAAACAAAATAGTCACACATTCTAATATTGTGTTACTAATCAATGCAATAGTGAAAATAAATGATTCCCCTTTTTGCCGCAGACCCCCAGGAACCTAAGGACCCTTGGGGGTCCACAGACCCCACTTTGAGAATCACTAATTTAGACTGCCAGTTTATGATTATTATAAACTTAGTATTAGTATTAATTATTCTGGATGTCTGGATTTTGCCCAGTGGTTTAGATGTTTATGTTAAAGGCTTTAAACTGTCCTGATACACGGTATTGTGCTACTGATTCATTAAAGGTCCCATATTGTATAAAGGTAGATGTCCATGTCTTTTCTGATTGTAAAGCAGGTCTAGGTTCTATATTAATACTGTGAAGGTATCAAAGCGCTCAGTCCACAGAGAAACACACACAGCCTGTATTGAGAAACTGAGCCTAAAAACGAGCCATCAGTACTTCTGTAACTTTGTGATGTCACAACAAAGGAGTCATCACTCTCAGCTGTGCCCA